TCAAGCTAGGGATAATGCTTGAAATATTACCTACACTAGGGTTATGGTTCACCATGTTTATAGTTCTTAATCTATCAAATATCGATAACAATTCAATCAATTATCTAGAGCAATTGCTAAGCCTACGATCGGGTCTTAACGCTCTCAATTCAACATATGCAGTAAGTCGCTAACATAATCACAATTGCTAATTGTAGGTAAGCCTCTAAAAGTAAGATCTTTCAATTCAAACTCTTATTAACAATAATTAATCAAACAATTGATCAGGTTGCAAGATTAACAATCAAACACTATCAATTAGAGAAATGAGTAATCAAAATATTAAAAATACCAATCAAGATTAATCATATAACCATGGATTCCCAAACCCTAGAAATAAACTACTCAAACATGGAAGAAATAATTAAAACTAGATCTAAGGAATAAAACATAATTAAAAACAAGAAATAGAAATAAAATACCTCAATGAATTAAAATAGTAAACCCAAGAATCATCCACAGAAGAATTCTTGGAGATGCCATGAGAAACTAGGGTTCAAGAGAAAACTCAAAAGAACGTAAAATAATCAAAAGAATAAAAAGGCGTAGGGAAAAAGTATAATCCCTTGAAGTATTTATATTATCCTAAAACTAATCTAAAGATAAATAAAGAAAAGAAATAAGAAAATAATAAATACATAAGTTGCAATAATATTGGACGATGACGTGGCACAAAGATGACGATGCAATCGAGGGAAGAGTGAAGATGTGCAGCAACGAAGCCTCGTGGGCTGCCTTGGCTACCCGTCAGAACCTGCGGGCGCAGGCTGGTGGCCGCGGCTTGGCAGTGGCATTTGAAGGCTCGCGTGGGCGCGGGCTTTGGTCGCAGGGTACATAACTCGGATTAAAATGGCCATAACTTTTGTTCAAGAAATATTTTCGGAGCGTGTGACCTATTATTGGAAAGATATTCAAGTCTAGTTTTTAATGCAACTTGAATCGCTTCAATCCGATCTGTAAAACTTAAGATATGATCAAAATAGTAAGCAAAGGTCATTTTTGATATTTTGCAAACTTTCGTTTTTCTTCGTTTTTAACTCAAATTCATTTTGTAAAGTGCATAACGCCCTTGTTGATACTATATTCATTCCTCATGCATATAAATCTCAAAATCAACATCCACGAACGTGGGATCTTTGATTTATAAATTCAATTTTTCTACTTCCATCCAAATATCATCCAAATCAACTCCAAACACTACGAAAGCGTCCAAATGTCTATCAAATCACTTGAAACATTTAGAAAAACACAAACGGAGCGTAATAGAGTACAAAACAAACAACTTATGTATTTACGACCTAAAAAGCGACAAAAAATACCTAAAAAGCAACTATTAACTTAGCATAAACGTGCCTACAAATCCTATATAAATGTGATTTATCACAAACTATTAGCCTAGAGTTTGTTATTACAATTGTTATAAATATTTTAATTAGATGAGGTAATGATATATAACAATCACAATATTCTTCTTTCTTAAACATCAATACAATGTTCTCCCTCCTTCTCACGCTAGTTCTTTAATTTTCTCTTTCTGCTCACTCTAGTTCTTGAAATTTTCTAATAAATAAGAGATGTTGTTGGATTGGTATGAGTAATTAGTTGTTTAATTTATTATATAGAGTGAATAACAATAACCGTAAAATACTTAAAACAATACATCAGTGAGTTAAATTTAACCAGACAATATATTTTGATCGAAGCAATAAATTATAAAATTCGTATGAAGATACGTTTGCTGGAATTTTGCCATTAAATTAGAACAACGTATGGTGCGGTTAAAGTGCAGAGATGTAACCTTATTACAAATTTATTAATATAGTTTGTCGGAGTCAAATTCAACGGTGGTGTATTTTGTTGAGAGTTTACTCGCTTGATTCTTCTCTTTGTCGGAAAATATACAACGATCACAACAATTGATGTTTCCATAATTAAAGAATTGTTTTTCATTTTGCCGCTAACGAACCACCCTTATTTTGGAATCATGCCGTCAAAATCGCGCTTAGAGACTTAGCAGGTGAGAAAAGGCTAAAATATATTATGTCTTTGCCTTGTATATCACAACCTATTTGAATTTTAAGATTTATGACATGTCACTAAAGATGGGCACGGGCCGTGCCGGCACGCGGGCGGCACGGACCCGGCACGGCTCGACACGTCACGACCGCCGGCACAGCACGGCACAACGGCCCACATGTGGGTCGTGGGCCGTGCCATGAACACAAATCTGGGAATCGGCACGAGGCACGGTGGCTGACCCGTGGGTCGGCACGCCGGCACGGCACGTGGCACGAGGGCACGGTACGTGGCACGACCCTGCACGGCACGAGGCCCGCCATAATTATACACTATTGTACAAATTTTGTATTATCAAATCTCGTATTCCATATAATAAATGAAGTTATTCACCAATTATTGTACGATTTTTAATTATCATTTTATTGTATGATCGATTTATCATACCGGCTACCGGCATATAATAAAATATGTTATTCTTCAATTTTTTGTGTTTTCGGCTTATCGCACTCGTAAATTTTTGTTTTTTATTATATGCATTGTTGTTTTCTGCTAAAGTAATAAAATTATTTATATAAACTTAAACATATTTAGATAAATAATTTATATAACCTTAATTAAAATAAAGTTGTTCAAAACAAAATATATTAACATTAACATAAACATAAATTAAGTTGTACTAAAAAATATATATATCGTTTTTTATTTACATTTATTATTTTAAAAAAAATTGGCATGGTTTGGCCCGCGACCCGGCACGACACGGCTCGCCAGGCACGTGGGTCGTGTCGTGGGTTGGGGTGTGCCAAATTTAGGCATGGCACGGCCCGTTGCCTATCTTTATATGTCACAATTAGACCTTATGTATATGGAGCGCTCATAATTAAGATGCATGTATTAGTTTTTTATGAAATGAGTGAGATATTATATTATAATACAGTTTTTAGGCCATTAAAGTAAGTGTAACAAGTAAAAAACGACCACAGTTAGTAAATTTAACACTTAAAAACTGATGGAAAATATTGTTAATTGGATGTTAAAAAAAAAGGGAAATTATCACTGGTACACTCCAACTTTTGGCTTTTATCTTTGGTACACTTCAATAAATTTTCATTATCAACGGTACACTCATAATTAACAACTAATTGCTACAGTAAGTACACCGTTAAGCAAACGTTAATTACACACGTTTTAAGCATAAAAGGAGGAAAAGAGCTCAAAGCCCTCCCATTTAAGTTCCCTCCAACAGTTCCCTCCTTTTTTTCAAGTCCCACCACATTTGCACTTATAAATACATTGTCTTCTTCTCAAAGGTACTTTTATTTGCATCTTCTATCTCTTTTTCCTTTGCTCCATTTTTCTGCCATGTCTTCCTCTTCTGCGATAAGGTCAATTTCAAGCAACAGAAACAATAGAGGAGGCTTGTGGGTTAAAACCATAACCTGCAATTGTGATCCTCCAAGAGGTGCTGACATCAGGTTTTCAAATTCAGTTGCAAATCCTGGCAAGCCGTATTACAAGTGCAGGCTCTGTCAATTTTTCATGTGGGTTAGTGAAGAACACATTGTGAGGGATGTTGGTGGCAGACCCGGTGACATGTCAGAAGTATCATGTGTACAACTACTTAGGGAAGAATTTAATGAGTTCATGAAGAAGACAGATGATTTTGCTGATTTTGTTCATCTAATTGTAAAAATTGTTGTTGTTATGTATTTAGTCGTATTGGTTGTTGTTTTAAAGTAGATGCAGTTTTAGTTGCAATGAGAACTTAGTTATGACATGTAATATGAAATGATAAATAAAGGTGTTTGCTTTATGTTATTTCCTCTATTTTTGAAGCAAATATAGCACATAATGTTGTGAATAACATAAATATGATAGTACAATAAGGGTTAAAGAAATGAGACAAAGAAAAGGCATATATTAACTGTTATAGCAATAGCATCCCAAACATATTGTTTCAAAAGGTTGCATAAAAAAAAGTAAGACCTACACTCACTACAACAAATCATCACTTGTGCCATGAATTATGCCACGGGAATTCCAAATTCGTGGCATAATTTCATCTAGCCACGGGAAAAATGAACTATAATACAATACCTAAATAAGAGGATTATTTATGCCACGGGCATTTATTTTCCCGTGGCAATTATCTCACTTGTGCCATGGATAGCGCTTTTCTCGTGGAAAACTTTTCATTTGTGCCACGAGTAGCTCTTTTCCCGTGGCAAACTTTACTTATGTGTTACGAATAGTTTTTTCCCCTTGCAAACTTTACACTAGTACGTGTCACAAATAATAATTTTCCCATGATAAGCATACACTTATGTGACCTTTTTTTTTTTCAAACAATGACTACAAGTGATATCACTAATCACTATTTTTTTATTTTTTTTTTGAAATATCACTAATCACTAGTTGGAAAAACTTAAATGACATCAAAGCAATGCATTAGTTTTCCATTCTTTTTGTCATCATCCAATTCAATTTCACAATCTAGGGTTTTATCCTTAATTTTATTCTCAATACACTCATTTTAGGGTTCACCTAAACGCATATAGTGAACTATTGTTTATAGTTACTAAACTCGATTTTGTTGATATGGAATTATACTAATAGAAAAAAGAAAAAAGACTTTTAGAGAAAGACACCAAATTTTAGTGGATGCGTAGACCGAAAAATAACCCCATAAAATATGGTTAATAAATAAAAATCGGATTAGACATAAATAATCCGTTAAATGAAGATCAGTGCCAAAAAAAATTCAATCGTAGCGTTTTTCATTTAATCGGTATTTTGATTTTGAATTTCATTTTGATTAGTAGTATTATTTTTGTTCCTTTTTTTTAGTCATTCATTCTTACCCCAATAGTTCAATACGGCAATACTACCCACATATGGCTATTACATAAATTTTTTTACCGAAGTAGTGACTATGCGGTAATTTTTATTTTTTTTTTTTTTTGAAGAAAATGAGGTAAATGGTAATTCCCACTTATGCAGTTATGCGTATGCTTCATCTTTCTCGTCTCAAAATCACTGTATTATATCTCTCGTAAAAAGAAAAAAAGAAAAAACCCCTCCTGTACTTCATCTCTCTCATCTCAAAGTTTTTCAAGTACTCAATGACTCCATCTTCCTCATCACCTCCACGACTTCCTCACCTCCATGCCTGATTGCCTTCCTCCATTTCACGGCCTTTGACACATCATCAAGTCCTGGATTCAATTTTTGCGATTAATAAGGTAGAATGCGAATGAAATTTCCTCAAGATCGAAAATATGCAGCCTTAATTCAAGGAAAATCGAAAATTCCAGACTAAATTTCGAACCAATTTCAAGGGTTTCATGCCATAATTCAAGCAAAAACAAATTCGAATCAAATTCAAGGTTAGGGTTTCTGGTTTATTTAGCTTTGCGTTTTTTTGGGGCTTTTTTTTAGTCCAATTATTCATGTTAAATGCTTTGATTTCTCAGGGTTAAATTGATGCAAATTGTTCAGCGGTTAATTTTGATGAATCCTGTTTCCCCCAAAATTCTATTTTTTTCTGAGTAAATAGGTGAAACAGCTTTTGAATTTTGTTTATATATATAAATTTGCTAACTTTGTGTTTCATTTTGCATGATTTGTGTTTGAGTTTATTTCAATTTAGTTTCGCGTGATTGAACTTGCAATTCTATTTTAAAGGTGAAATTCCCTTTTTTCTTCTTTTAATTGGGTTGTCTACGTCAAAAACAGTTTCATCAACTATTCAACTGGTGTGTCAATGCTGCCACCCTCTGAGAACTTCTGAATTGTTAATTCTTTCAACTCCTTAAGTCCCTGTTAGGAGTTTACTATAATCCGTATTAGTAATACTAATTATAGATTTAGGTCAGCTATTTTACCAGAGAATATGGTATCTGATAGACAAGAAGTGTCTGCATATCTTGGCAAGTGTCTTGCATGTTTCTGTTTAACTGACCCAAGTTTGAATTCTTCTGTATGCTATCTCTTGCTGCTGCTACAAGCTTGTTCCTTAAAAGATGTTTCAAAAGCCAGTAAATCATCTTAGAATAGCATCTCTTAGATTTGAAAATCTACTTGTATAAATGTGGGAGTTCTACTCATGCATGAGAATATGAGATGCTTGTTGATTTCAGGTTCAAAATTAACTGAGGTTTCTGCATAACAGTTGTTTTTGGTTCCCAATATTTGGGTAACAAATTAAGCCATTTACATTAATAACAATATATAGTCACGTTAATAAGGTACCCTGAGATTGCGCAACTTGAAGTGATTCTAACTAGTCCTGTATGCTTTATTTGAAAAAAATAAATAAATTATATAGCAGCATGTCATTGTATTTAGGCCCATTTTTATTATCCTGCACTCATGCCAGTCCATATTTCCAGCTTCTGTAGGCAATGATGTTGATCGATGGTCACAAAGAAAATGCTTTTCGTATAAACAGGTTTCAAATATTGTTTGTAGTTGTATCACTATTAGCCAAGTAATGAGTGAATGATACCCGGTGTTTGAGAGAAGCCAAGCTTCTTGTATGCATGGGAGATTGAGGAACAACTCCATTTGAGGGGGGTATACCTATAAGACCACAAAATATGACCTGTAGAATGTCAATTTGACAAATAAAAATAAGCTTTATAAAACTTTAAACTAAAGTAGAAAATCAAATCTTACTTCAAACATCATGAAGAAATTAGATTAAATCCTGGGATAGAATGCTTACTAGAAAACCAAGTAGAATACACTATAAACTCCTTGATGATAGTCCAATTTGAATAAGCACCAGGAGACCATGGATTTGGACTGAAAAGACGCCTAGGAATCCCATCTGGAACATTATGAGTTAGTATTTATTTTTTTTAGGTACTTTCACAATTCGTATCTTTATAAAATCTAAATGTTTTTTTTTATAAAGTTTGTTATTTTTTTTTTAATCAAATTATCTATGTTTCCTGAATTTGGTGATGGATGTTTGTTGTGTATATCTGCATTTTGAATATAATTTGTGGTCATATGTGATATAAGTGGTTGTTGATGAGCAATTGATGGTAGAAATTGGTGCCTTCACATTTACACTTTGCGAGTTTTTAACCTTTGTTGATATAATGTGTTCTGAAACAAATTAAATTGTGGTGAAGGGTGAATATTGACAATCACCATTATCCTTGCCAATGCAACATATGCTAAATCGCGAGATTGATGATTTGCGACTTTAGTTCAACCGATTCATTACAATGAAATTGTTTGATGAGAAAAAGTTAATTGAGATCAGGGGATGTGAACTTATTATTAATCTTGCTCCTTTTAAATTTATCAGGGACTGTAGCAGCCACTGTGACTCCTCAACCCCTTGCTCTGAAAAGGAACTCTCTCTTCCAAAGAGGCTTGCAGCCACATAACTATAGTCTTCCAGTGCTCCAAAAAGGGTTATCCATAGTATGTGCTTTAAAATCAATAATGAATTAAATTAAAAAAAAAATTCTTCTTTTTTTTAGGGTGAGATTTTAGATAAGGTGTGTAGTTTGCTACGACTAATCAAGCAAAGAAAACCATGAAATTTTCTCTGTTGTGTCTTTGACATGAAATTCTGTCATATTTTCTGCTCTTTGCGTGCTCTGATTGTACCTTTTGGTTGTACATGCAGGCACTTGTTTCAGCAGCAACTAGTGGGAGTAAAAATATTATCTTGGACTGATAATGGTCCTCATGAGAGGTGGAAGAAAGAATGTTCTTGTGGATGTGCTTGAATCTTTAATGCTCCTGTTGCTCTATCACTATTTGCCAAAATATTTGAAGAGGTATGCATTCATAACAGAAGTAGAAGTGGCTTAGGATGGTCAGAGAAAGCAAGATGTTTTAGATGCTCGAGGGTTTGCCACTGTTGCTGTATTTGGGCGCTGTTGCTGCTGCTACAACTACTGTTGGAACATTGTTATTGCTTCTGCTTCTGTCTTGTTGATTATTACTGCTTCAATTATAGTGTACTCTTAAGCATATTTTTTTTCATTTTTTTGGATGAACAGTGTATATTTACAAGCTATTAATGAAAATATCTAAGTTTTATGTGTATATATGCACTAAGTCAGTTGATCAATTTGGGTGAACAAATGCAAAATCGGTGCCTAATTGCTATCTTCTACTAGTGTTAGTAGCCACAGTAAAATTTATTGAATCATAGCTTATTAGCGAAGGTAGTATTTTTGGAAAACAAGCTATTTAGCCACTGTAATATTTGTGGCAATGATATTTATTAGCCACGGTAGAATTTGTGGCAAATAATTTATTAGCCACATTAATATTTGTGGCAATGAATTTATTTGCCACGTGAATACTCGTGGCACAAAATTTGAAATTTGCCACGACATTCGTTTTCCCGTGGCAAATTCCTAGCCACGGCCTCTTGTGCCACGAGAGTAAATTTCAAAATTCCCGTGGCTAAATTACATAGTCACGGGGATTTTAAACTTGTGCCACGTTTTTACTTGTGGCACAAAGGTCAATTTGTTGTAGTGACTTAATGTAAATCTATCCAATTTCTGTTCAAAAATAACTGCACTTTTTTTCACCAAAAAAAAACCTATCCAAATTCTGTTCAAAACATCAAGTACATATATACTTAAATTAGATTAAAAAAACAGCTCCCGCAGCACTTGTGAGCATCATACTCAGTTCTAGAATTGTGACAGGTCTTGTGGCTGACTTGAGAACTGAGAACTTGTGAGCTCAGTTGCACCAGACCCTTAACCCTTTGACTTTGCCCTGGCATCCTTTGCAGCATTTGACTGATCTCTGACCCTTGGGTTTTGGATCACAAGTGCCTCTCCAGACCTTAACTCTTTCCCAATAAGCCCTCCTTTGCAGGTGGCTTTGTTGTGTCCAAAACAACCACAACTTGAGCATCTAACAGTCCTTGACCTTTTGCCTGACTGCTTTTCTCCAGCTTCCCTTTTTCTATTTCTGCTTGGTCTACCAACCCCCCTTTTCATCTTTGGTGGGTGAACATCAACAGGGTTCTCAGCAGCAGATTCAGGCGATGTCTAGTATATGAGCAATGGAATGGATATACACCTTTTTTTAGGTTTGTGCAGAATACCAGGAACTTACATACTTGTGAGGGTCAACTTTAGCATGAGTCATTGCCCTCATAGCATGTCTACAAGGTATGCCAGACAGCTGCCAAGCTCTACATGAGCAAATCTTGGTGTTTAGGCTGAGTGGGAACTGTGATTTTCCCTCATGAATCTCATATTCTCCTGGGCTAGACTAAAAAGCTCTGCATGTTGTTGTGGATTTACTGATGTCTCTTACTAGCTTTGCTATTTTAGGGCATAATTCATCATCACTCAAGGCCATTGCAGCCTCATGCCTTGAAGCTATCCTGACCATGCAAACTCTCCTTATGCCTAGTATGAAAAACAACAAAATTAGACATGTAATAATTCCAAACAAATTTTAAAAGCAAGTGATAAGGGTCATTACCTTCTAGTAAGGTCAGAACTGGCCTACATCTGTCAGCTCCAAGTGTTGAGTTAAAACTCTCAACAAAGTTTGAAGTGTTGGAGTCATTGCACATATTAGGATCAAACTTGTGCTTACTCCACTTAGACTGGTCACCTAGATCTGCAAACCAGTTCATCACATCCTCTCCTCCTTCCTTTTGAAGTCTTTCCATTGCCTTCCTAAATGTGAATTTGTTTGTTGCATTGCAAGCTCTCCAGAAAAGTATATACATAAGTGGACCTGGAAAAGCTTTCTTGTAATTTCTAGACATATGTCTACAACAGTATCTTCTCTTAGCTTCAGGCCACCTATCTTTCAATGCCACATCAACACCCTAAAACATACAACATTGTCAATGTGAGACATATAACTTTATTCAAGTTAGGCAAAAAAACATGAAAACAGGGTAAATAATCTCACCTTCTACCTGTCAGATATTATTGTCCAATCTTTTCTTTCTGATTCTTTCACTATGCAATGAATGTTCCAGAAAAAATAACTCCAACTCTCTTTGTCTTCACTGCTCACAATTGCATATGCAAGTGGATATATCTCATTGTTAGGATCTAAAGCTACAGCGGAAAACAAAACTCCACCATAATTTCCCTTCAAATGAGCACCATCAACCCCAATCAATGGCCTGCGGCCAGCTAGGAATCCTTTCCACTGTCCAACAAAGGATATGAATATGCTTGTGAACAAATTAACCCTTGGAATGCTCTCACTTTGATGCCATGCCACAAATGCTTTAGATCCTGGGTTTGTGCTCATAACAACTTTAGCATATCTAGGCAAGTGTATATAGGACTCATCATGTCCTCCAAATAACTCTTGAACAACATATCTCTTCAACCTATACAAAGTGGCTTGCTTCAAATAAATTCCAAACCTGTGAAAAAGGAGCTCATTAAGAGCCTTTCCTAGAATATCTGGATTTTCCCTTATGTCTTCCATCACTTTAGGAGCAGCCCATCTCACAGTACAGATTGGATAATCTCTAACCCCCTACAATTATGCACATTAGGCCAAATCTTCTTGATAGCCCAAGTCTTTCCATCAAGCAGCCTACTTGCATGAATCCTCCATTCACATCATTGTGCCAAGCATGTCACAGTATACCTCTTGTTGTCTGCAGCAACCACAACAATTGCAAATCCTTCTTGAACTGCATAATCCTTCAAGGTCTCACTCAAATGAGCCTTGTCAATGAATATCATCCAAGGTCTAAGCACTATCTCCCAAATTTGACTTCTTCATACATTTCTCCATGCTTATGTAGCTTGGCCATGTAATCATCATCATCAGAATCATCAATAAAATTTGACCAGAAGTTAGGTTCCCAATTGTCTTCTATGTGGGGAACACTGTTTAATTCAATTAATTCATCTTCAGGGACATCACCATCAGGTACAATATCTTCATCAGAGTCTACAAATTCACCAGAACCCTCACCAACTGCATAATCCTCATCCATAGAATCATCAGATCCAGATTCAGCTTCAAAGTCATCACCAAAACCATCAGGATCACCACTAGCACCACCCAAACCAAAAGTAACCTTCCTTCTAGCACTAGGTCCAGTACTCTCCCCTAACTTAATGAGGTCTGTACCCTGTTTAGGAACTCTCCCTTTCTGACCACTTCATATACCCTTCCTAAATTGAGTTGTCTTAGGAATTTTTCTAGAAAATAGGGTAGGGTCAGTGAGTATATTAGATGGTTGGCTGTTTGGACTTGATCTAGGTAGGGGAGTGTTGTGTTTAGTTGTGTTTTGGGCAGGTGAAAACCTAGGACTTCTTCTCAAAGGTAACTCTTTGAACAAAGTGTGTGGTGAAATTGGAGAAGGTGGTAACTTGTCACTCCCATGCCCAAGTGAAACTGACTGTGTAGATTTCCCCTTGCTCTTACCCCTGCCCTTACCCTTATCCTTACTTTTTCCCTTACCTAGAGCAGAACTTTCACCCTTCCCACTACCCTTGCCCTTTCCCTTAGATGCTGCAATTTTTGCCTCTGCCTTCTCAAATTCTTTCCTACCCTTAGTATATTTCTTATTAGACATGTCATTAGCCTATTCATTGTGATCCTCATTTTGCAAATCAGCAGCAGTGACATCTGGATCATAGTTAAACTCTATAGGGAACATTTGATCTACTAAAGGGTCAGGAACAATGTCATCTAAAGATGGGTCAGTAGCATTAGCATCAGTGGTGGACTAATATTTCTTTATCAATCTCCTCCTTGGTTTGAGTTTGGTCAGTGGTTCATTTGAGAATTGGTGAGGTTGTGGTTCACTCAAAGGCTGATTAGGATGTGTTTCTGTGACATGTTCTTCACTGCTAGGTATAATTATGTGTTGAAAGACTATTGGAGGTGAGTCTGGTTCATTTACAGGTTGAAGTGGAGGTGTTTCTGGTTAATTCACGGGTGGAAGTGGAGGTGTTTGTGGTTCATTCACAGGTGGAAGTGGAGGTGTTTCTGGTTCATCCAAATTAGGTGGTTGATTATCTAGTTCAGCAGCTGCATTTCTCCTCCTATACTCAGACACTAAGTCATTCATGTAACTAGACTTCAATGGGTTTATTCCAACTAAAATCTCAAATACATTGTTGTTAGAAAATGTCCTAAACATCCTCTGTATACCACCATCATCATCAATAGGCCAATGCTTCCCCCTATATGCATATGCAAAGATAGGGTTCAATATAACTACAGCTTTCTTTTGTAGCCTATCTTCAAACTCAATCACTAAATCCAGCATATTGCAAAGATCACGATCCACTTTAATATCAATAATATGAACCTTATACTTAAATCTAAACAAAACCTTGTCATCCATTCTGCAAAATTAGGTCAAAACAACACATTTTAATCCCAGTTTCAATTTAACATGCAATGCAACAATACTTAACAAATAATCTAACCTAGGGTTACCTATCACACACCAACATACATATATCTACTCAAAAACACCCAATTCGAATTATTTGTGCAAAAAATACAACATTAAAGCAACAAATAATAATCACAGGCATATTGTGCATAATTAAAACCATAATTCGCTAACAATTGTACATGAAAATCATAATTCAACCATTTAAACAAAAAATTCATACACTACCAAACTAAGCGAAATTCAGAAAATCAAAGGCTCAGATGAACACTCACCTTAAAAGATCAACAATGAAGTGCAAATTATGCTCGAATTTTGTTCAAATTGCACGTCAATTAAGGAACCTCGCACCAGCAGGGGAGAGAGTGAGAAGAAGCAATAAGATGAACGATCTTCTCTGAGTTTTTAATATAGGTTGTTGAGAGTTTGAATGTGTTTATTTAATGTATATGGGATAAGGGGGGCAAATTAGTCAGTTTATTTTAAGTGGCATAACCTAAAATTAACCTTTAATTAACGTTTGCTTAACGGTGTACTTACTGTAGCAATTAGTTGTTAATTATGAGTGTACCATTGATAATGAAAATTTATTGAAGTGTACCAAAGATAAAAGCCAAAAATTGGAGTGTACCGGTGATAATTTCCAAAAAAAAAAATTGGGTCACGATTTTATGAAACGGA